ACTCTGGCCTCCCGCCATCTGTTCTCACCTGAGCTCACCAACTCCTTTGTCCCCCTTGCTGAAGAATGTGGGGGAATTGCCCTATTTCCCTCCTTTGTAAAGGCCCCCATCTCCTTGCAGATGGCTCTTTTTGTCCTTCTGGGCTCATGGCTCCACTCAGTCTCCCCTCCCTTTGTCCTGCTCTTCAGCCAAACTGTGGAGAAACCCCCTTATTGATGAATACAGAAACTTGAGCATTCTGCTCACTAACTCAAAAAAACTGGCTAAAACATGCATTGAAGAGTTTAATCAGAATGTGTTTGAGCTTTAGCCTGACTCAAAGCTGCCAGATTTTTGGCTCCCTTAAATTGAGGGTCTTCAAATTTTGAAACAGCTCTTTTCTGTTAAATTATGCCATATCTTTTGCAGTAGCATGAATTAGTTTGGTTTATGTAGAAAGGCATGTTGTTACTAAGCAGAAAGTGTGGTGGGTAACTTCTCTCTGCTTAGCAGTGGTAACATCCCAGCAGCCTGGACTGTGCCTTCAAATAGGTGGCTCCTCCTCTCAGTCTTCCACATTTTAAGAGGAGGATTAACCAAAGCGTTTCCTGGCATTTTGCTTTCCCCGCTTCCAGTGGCAACAAGTAACTAATGTGTTAAATTACCTTGACTAAGATCTATGCAAAGCTTTCCTGATGAGTTCTCTCTGTACACTAAAAAGATCTTTGGGGAGCATCAGTGCTTAGATGTGTATTTGCATTGTACCAGTGTCCTGATTTCTGCAGGGGAGGTCAGCAAAGCAAAACTTGTTGCAATGGGAATATGTGTGCTCTTGTTCTTGTCATGACACTAAGGATTATACTGCTTTGATAACTTCAGATGAAGTTGCTCCTTAGTGCATAGCTAAAAAATCATAATAAGTTAGTCTTTATCCCTTCCCCAAGGGAGAACACACACAAAAAAATGCCACTAATGACTGTAATTGGGTTTTAAACTTTTTAGTTGTTTGTTATGAGTTGCAGGATGGCCTTGAAAAGATCATCTATAAGGTTTTTCAAAAGTTATAACCAGTATTAAAAGTTGGTTGTCCTTACATGTAAAAAGCCTTCTAGGAAAAATGATTAATCTGTAACATGTTAAACTTAGTGGATGTGTGGCCTCCGATGATCTAGGAGTGGCTCTTCCAGAATATTTAACCTACATATAAGATAATTGGAACATGACTTATATTATAAGACAGTCTCCTGACAGAGGCAAGTATTTTTAAAGGGAAACCAAAAAACATGAGTTTACTCCTTTCCTTCAAAACAGCATGTTAAAGAAAGCCTTGAACAAGTAGTGTTCCTCTGGCTGTTAGTATCTGTAAATGAATGAGCCTCCGCCTGGAGGGTCTTTAGCTGTTGCCTTCTCACCAGCACTCCGTTGGGTTTTGACACTGTACTACAGGGGAATGTCACGATCACGTATGCAGCCTCTTTTATAAGATGCTGATCGTATTTCTCCTTGTCAGATCAAGATAATATTTTCAGAGGCTGCTAAGCGCTCACGCTGCGAGGGGATGCAGGGCACAGCCACTGCCTCGGGCTTCCAGCCCCAGCAGGGTCTTCTCATGGACCCTAAAATTAAGCCTGGTTTCCAGGGCTCCGATTCAGGTAGAGGAGGGAGTGAGAAAACAGGGTCTCTTTTATCCCCAGAGATTTCCTGCTTCCTTTCTGCATGACACATCTGTAAGAGCCCTGGTCTTTGTTGCTGCCCTCAGAAGACTTTAGTTCTGAGAGATGAAAATTGCTTTTCATTTTCTTTTGTGCATTATGAATTTTTAAAAAGCACTTCTTTTTTTATTCCAGTAAATAGGAGTCTGTCTTAGGAGTTGCACAGCGAACCTTGTTGGTTCTGTGCCAAAACAGTAGTATTCTGTAACCGCGAGCAGAAAAATATTTAGCAAATAAAAAAATAACTTGTTGAAGGCCAGACCTGTACTAGACTATTGTTTGATGTGAGTTGTGCAAGGAGCCTTTTTGCTTGTAACACCCGTTAGCCCAGAGGGTTGCTTGCGTTGCAGTGGAGATCAGAGAAGAAGTTGGGCTGTTGCTTGGTCTATATGCGATTATCAGCAGTGCTAGTCTCAACTTAAACCAGAGCCTGTTTCCTGTGGTTGTTTTCTTATTAATTTTACTTAAAAGGAAGAAAGTTAAAGCTGAAGCCTCCAAAAAATATATAATGTTCCTTCATTCCGTTTGCGGTTCCCAGTATCCGTAGAGCTGGGTCAGGACCAGCTGCTCACTTTGGAGACGTAGCTCAGAGGAGTTTCCAGCTGCTGTGGCTGCTTGCACCATGTCTAACACGGCACTCGGGCACGTTCAGGTGCCATTCAGCCCCATTCAAAATGTGGGCTTGTATGCAGGCAGAAACAAGTTCACTAAGAGCGACAACGCTGTGAAGTGCTTTTTGGGTTTGTTTTTGTTTCATTTTGTTTTGTTTTATGAAAAAAAAAAGAAGTTACTCGAGCTTTTCTCCAAAAGTGTTAATTACTGGTGAATTATCTTTTGTAGGAGTTCTCTGGAATCTATCTTCCTGTGATGCACTGAAAATGCCAATCATCCAGGATGCCCTTGCAGTGTTGACCAATGCAGTGATCATCCCTCACTCTGGGTGGGAAAACTCTCCTCTCCAGGATGATCACAAAATCCAGCTCCATTCCTCACAGGTGCTGCGCAATGCCACTGGGTGCCTACGGTGAGTATGGCGAAATAATTGCTTTACCTCAGTGATCTTGCTTGCTCTTGAATTGTTATTCCTCATTCTTAGGCATCCGTAAAATAAACAGTTTGCTTGTGTGTCTGCAAATAAAATGACTTCTGAGGCTGTAGACTTAAAGTTTGAAATTAATTAGAAAACAAGCTTCAGGCCATTCAGAAACAATCTCTAGATCACTGCTGTGGGTTTTCCTTTTTTATTCCTGTTCTTAATGGCTTTGACCAATCCCCTCATCAAAGCTTGCGTAGTACAGATGTTTTTCTTGTTATCTGTCGATATGTACTGACTATTACATCCCATTTAATCAGCACAAAAAGTAACAAAGACGCTTACACGAACTAACATTATGCCTTGTGGGTTCCAGATGCCATTGGCAATGGTGTGATAAATAGATAAAGTAGATTTTTCATGCTCTGTGAAGATGAAAAATAGAGTGCAATAAGGGACCGACCAATTTAAATCTGTGCTACTGGAATACCTAAAGAGATATTTAACAAGTACGGTATGTGTATGTGTGCAACTTGATGTATCCGTTCCTAAGGGACCTGGAGATACAGGAATGGCGGCAGGATGAGCAAGGGACATTTCATCCCGCTTAGCTCGGTGTAGCTGCTGCTTGGCAGGGACAGGACACACGGAGTGTTGAACTTACGTTTGCTTCACCCCAGCAAGAACTTACTTGTTTACCTCTCACCAGTTGAAATCTATTGCTCTGGACAAAATGTGAAGTTTGAGGTTGTGGAAGGGGGAGAAGCTTTAAGTTGGTTTGTGCAGTGCTGATGGGAGTCTAGTGTTGCCTTCCCCTCGAGAGACGGGGCTGTAGGCTAGAGGGGAGGAGGAGGGGAGGTAATGCTCATTCTCACTGGAGCTGCGTGGAGCAGTGCGTACTCGGGGCATTCCCAGTGTGCACATTCCCACACTGTTTCGCTCCTTACAGTTCCCTCCTCCATTAACGTTTAACAGCTTTCACACTTTGCACATAGGACTACATACAAGTCTCAGATTTCCACTTCTTGGGCTCACTGGATGGGGAAATAATGTGAGGCAAGAAGATGTAATAGGTTTCCTGGCAAAGCCATTGCTTTGCGTATCAGAGAAACGGAAAGTGCCTTGACATCTGCTGTGAGCATATTTGTGGGAATGTTTGGGGCTCTGCGGTGTTCTTTTTTTTCCCTTTTGTTTAAGATGGTTTGAGAAGGAACATTAATAATAGTTGCATCAGGGTTTGATTTTATTTGATGATGCTAAGCATCATAGCAAAAGCTCTGTTCTTCAAAATCTTCAGCAAATGTTTCTAAATCCCTCAGACTTCAGAGATGTCAGGTGGTATTACGTAGGATTTAATCTTAAAAATATGCTGGGAGGATTTTTTTTTTAATCTTCCATGCTTTTTTTTTCTGATGCATTCACTGTTGAAAGCTTTAAATAATGAGAAATGCTATAATACAATTTCTTCCACTAAACAATTCTAATAAATAGTTTACAATGGGAATCATATAAGAATAGTCCTTTTTTATGTTTTTCACTGCATTTTACAATTATTATTACTTCTACCTGTCTTTTCTCATTTTTGCTAAGAGTTCTTTATGTCTTCTCTGCTAAAAAATAACTTACTAATGGCAATTCTTAGTAAGCTTCATTTTATTTTTTTATTTATTACCATCCTCAAGCAAGTTGTTAATACATCTTTTTAAAAGATGCTAAGTAGGCCCAGTACTTCACCCTCAGCCATACAGTAATCTAGGTCACACCAATGTGAAATCACATCAGAGAGCAGCAAGATCAGGCCTTTTCTTCCTGTTATTTTCTTCTATTAAGATCTATTTAAACACGTTATTTACAAACTGCACTCTTACATGCTTCTGTGTTTTTTTTTAAAAAAAGGAAAATAGGTTTAATAAAATATTGTACTACGTAATTTCACATAAATAGAATATTTTGAAATTGTTTAGATAATTCAAAGTTCTAAGCACTGCATTGTACTTATAAATTTAGTCTTAATGCTCATCTTTTATAAAACATTGCCCAACCTCAACTGTGATATGTATTAGAGTAATTATCCAATTTGCTTGCCTCCCCACTGAGGTGCCAGTACCTTGCCTCATTAAGCTCTGTGAAAGCTTTTCTTTTCTTTTTTTTTCCTGTTGGATTTCAGCTGATATTAGTTTATTTATGCTTGTGAAATACTTTATAGATTCCGATTCATTTAAATGTACTAAGGAAAGTCAAGTGAAACCTGAATTTTAAGTCCCGGTTATTTACATGAGGTAAATCAGGGTGGTGATAAGCAGTGCAGAGTCTAGTTGAAGGCCTGTAGCTAGCGGTGTCCCCCAGGGGTCAGTCCTCGGTTCAGTCCTGTTCGATTTATTCATCAATGACCTGGATGAAGGCACAGAGTGCTCCCTCAGCAAGTTTGCTGATGATACCAAACTGGGAGGAGTAGCCG